TCCAGCAGTGGGATCAGGACACTAGAAGCTCTCCCACGGTCACCCCCCCCCCCAAGCACCAAGAATACAGTGCATCACCTGCCCCAGACTGAGAGTTCCTATCTATACCTTGTGGCTAATAGCCACTGATGGACCTCTGCTCCATATCTTTACCCAATTCCCCCTTGAAACTGTCCATGCTTGTAGCCGCCACCACCTCCTGTGGCAGTGAATTCTATGTGTTGTTTTTGAGATCAACACTCATGCACCCCCACTTTTGGGGTTTCTTCTCCTCATGTTTTGCTGCTGCTTCTGTGGACCTCTACAAGATTTCACAATTATAGCACTTTCCCCTTCAACTATTCCCACTCCTCCCTATTTTTCTCTTAGCTAGCTAGCATGTGTGTGTGTGTGTGTGTGTGTTCCTGGTACCAACAGCATGCACCCCCACTTTTGGGGTTTCTTCTCCTCATGTTTTGCTGCTGCTTCTGTGGACCTCTACAAGATTTCACAATTATAGCACTTTCCCCTTCAACTATTCCCACTCCTCCCTATTTTTCTCTTAGCTAGCTAGCATGGTTTAAGTACATTTGAGTATGTGTTTTGCCCTTTTATTTCTCTTTTAATAAAAAGCCTTTCCCGTTGAACATCTGCCTAGTTTATTTGAGAGTTCTCTTAAGGGGAAAAAATCCTGGTATACATTGGTGGAGATCCCAGTTACCAACCTCTCTGTTGGGTATTACAAGTTGAAAACACTCAGTATATCTGGGGTTAAATGTTTGTTTATGTTACTCACAGGAAGTCACATGTTTTTCTTGTAACCAATTGTCTTTAGCTGTAGAATAACCGGGAATTTTCTCCCTGATCGAGGAATTTGATTGGGACTAAAGTGTCAAGGTGTATTAGCATTTTATGGCTCCTCTTCCCGTCTTTGTTTGGAGTTCTGAAGAAGAAGAAGAAGAAGAGCAGCCATAATCTCTCTTCTAGTTTTGTCTTTGTAGAGTAAGGATGTAGCCGACTATGCTCTGTTGTTATTTTCATCCCAGTTACCCTTCCCCATGCTAGAATTTAGTAAAAACTTTATATTTTAATCACACGTGGACTCTGAGTCTGAATTATTTTACTCCGGCAGGGCTGGACCATCTTATCTCTGCTAAATACCATTTTTTTCAGTATCTCACTATCAAACCCAACACTCTCGCTCTTTCTCCCTTCGCTAATTCCCCCAATTAGATAGGAGACTGCCTCTTTGGTACCGTCTCCAGAAACTATGCATCTAAGCAGATGCTCTCCCTTCAGCCATACACATGGGGAGAGGATACATGGTCTGGCTAAGGGCTGATCTTATGCAAAGTCACTCCAATTCTAGTCCATTGATTTCAGTGGGCTTAGACTGGAGTAACTCTGCGCAGGATTGCGCTGCAAGTAACCTCAGAAGGAAAAGGGTGGTCTGTGGAGCAAAACACACAAAACAACTCAATCTCAATGAAATTTGGGTGGGATTAGAAGATGCTTGGCATTGCATAAGTGCAGATGTTTTAGGGAACAAGTAGAATCCACGCAGCCCAGCCACCTGCTCAGCGCAGAGGCCGGATCAGGACAAAGGAGACACCCTCGAGAGCTGTATGCTCAGCAGAGAATTTATTATGATTCCATCAGCAAAAGACACCACAGAAGGCAGGCGCCGACCAGAGAATCCAGTTCCAGTTCCGTTACCTTTACTGGCATGTAAACCAGAGAATCAAGAAGCACCCCAAGACTTCACTCACGACTTTTCACCGGGCAGTTCTAAATTCATGTGCCTCTTGCAAGGTTCCCCCTCCCCCGCCTCCAAGGGCAGCACACAAATGCACATGTCCCTTACAAGAGCCGAATGGATGGTATTTTAGGTAAAACCCGAATTCAGCCAGGAGGAGCCCGTTTCATAGGAACGTGCTCCAGTTCACCTCATTTGCTATAGAAAAGTGATATCGATTTCAAAGCTTGGGCAGAAGTGTCACCATTTTTTTTAAAAAACCAATCTTTTGGCTTTACCCATCGTTAGTAGAATTAAAGGCCCTCATACTGGCTGGGGGAAAAAACCCTCAATGTTTGCTCTGGGCCCGCGCGCCGCAAAACACGCAAGAGCCCAGGGGTCTAGAAGACGAGTGGTGCAGTCCAAAATAGGTCTACCCAAGATCCTACCAAAGTCTACTGAATGGGGCTGAATCCCAGGAAAAGTGTTCTTACTGATTGCTCTGAGTGTGGAAGAGAGATTTATGCAGATTAAGAAAGCAGTTAACTGGGGGAAAGAGGGAATCCCAGGAAAGGGGCAGGCCGTCATTCCCTTGACAAGATTTTGAATCTGGAGGTCGGTCCACTTCGGGTCACTGAGGAGATGCTGAGGTTGTGTCGGGGGCGCTGGGTGTCCATTCCGGGCCTAATTGTCCACCTTGTACTTGCACACGTATGGGTAGGAGACATCGCAGTTCTGCTCTGTCCATCTGGAACGATCTGTAGGGGGGAAGTGTGCTTGTTAGGTGTGGAATGCATTTGGAGGGAACCAGGAGACTCAGCACAATGGAGGATTTTGAATGACTGACTCCTGCTACCTCAACACACAGGTCCCTTCTGCCGCTGGCATTCGCTCCACATTTTATCAGCACTCAACCTTGTTCCCCCTTGCCTGGGAATATCTGTTTTCATTGCATTGCCTTGGATCCTGGTTTCTGCATTGGCTAGGGTCAGCTTGTCATCTGTTTTGTTTGCATTGGTATGCAGATTTTCCTGTGTCAGTACCTGCCTCAGTGGTCATTGGCCACCTGGGCCAAGTAATTTACGGTGAGGTGATAAATTCAGAGGGGGGAATAGGGGCAGGGGAACTGACGGGGATCAGTGAAGCCATGTCAAGTTGTCTGCTTATTGTTCTCTTCGAATCTGAAGTGGAGGAAGGGGAAAGTACCACTCAAAACCACATTCAGACACCCCAAGGCAATGCTGTACTGACTGCAAGATCACCCCTGAACAGCCATAAGAACATAAGAGAAGCCAATGTTGGATCAGGCCAGTGGCCCATCCACTCCGACACTCTGTGTCACACAGTGGCCAAAAACACCAGGTGCCATCAGGAGGTCCAGCAGTGGGGCCAGGACACTAGAAGCCCTCCCATTGCCCCCTCCCAAGCACCAAGAAGACAGAGCATCCCTTGCCCCAGAGTCCCTATCTATACCTTGTGGCTAATAGCCACTGATGGACCTCTGCTCCATATGTTGATCCAATTCATAAGAACATAAGAGAAGCCAATGTTGGATCAGGCCAATGGCCCATCCAGTCCGACACTCTGTGTCACACAGTGGCCAAAAATACCAGGTGACGTCAGAAGGTCCATCAGAGGGGCCAGGACACCAGAAGCCCTCCCACTGTTGCCCCCCCAAGCATCCCTTGCCCCAGACCGAGAGCCCCTATCTATCCCTTGTGGCTAATAGCCACTGATGGACCTCTGCTCCATATGCTTATCTAATTCCCCTTTGAAGCCGTCCATGCTTGTAGCCGCCGCCACCTCCTGTGGCAGTGAATTCCATGTGTTAATCACTCTTTGGGTGAAGAAGGACTGCCTTGTATCTGTTCTAACCCGACTGCTCAGCAATTTCATTGAGT